TTGTCTGTTGTGGTTCTTCAAGGTTGTGCCGCATGCAACGTGCTTGTGCAGTCTTATTTTGTTTGCATCATAAAGCAGATCATGGCCGGGCAGCAGATCAGCAGCTGATAGGCAAAACAGCAGATCAGCAGCTGATAGGCAAAACAGCAGATCAGCAAACATCTAGGAATTGTTGTAGCATTTGTGTTTAACGTGTTGTCGTTACGTGATGCTCCCGACGTCGGCGTGTCGTCCCCAGCGGGATCATTGTAGGGCGCTTTGTTGGGGCTGTGCCGGGCAACATGAGAATCGTAGCACATCAGGGCGTAACCTTTCGATGCACTCACCTCGCTGAAACCATCTAATTCCCGTTGTGCTCCTTGCTGCTACACAACTTGCCTGCCCACATGCACCACATGCACAACTTGCCGTGGCCATCGCTGTCGTTTTCTCGCCGACGGCGAGGTCGCCAGCGCCCTCTCGCCGTCGCCTTATCGCCGTCGGCGCCTTGCCGTCGGCGCCTTGCCGTCGGCCGCCTTGCTGTCGGCGTCTCGCCGTCGGCGTCTCGCAGTCGGCGTCTCGCCGTCGGCGTCTCGCCGTCGGCGCCTTGCCGTCGGCGTCTTGCCGTCGGCGTCTCGCCGTCGGCGCCTTGCCGTCGGCGCCTTGCCGTCGGCGCCTTGCCGTCGGCGTCTTGCCGAAGGCGCCTTGCCGAAGGCGCCTTGCCGAAGGCGTCTCGAGCGTGTAGGGAGTACGGCATGAAGGTCTTTCCCCGTATGTTCACTGCGTGGATGCCACTTTGTGTCCGTTCGTGATGTAGTGATGTCGTACATACGTTCGGAGCAAAGTTTCTTGCTGTGGGTGTTTCGTGGCGCGGTGTTTTCCCCTGTTGTGCCGGCAAGCAGCAACAGCAGCAGCGACAGCAAAAGCACAAAGGCAGCAAACTGCAAAGCTAAGGTCAGCAAACTCAGATAGAAGCTGCAAAGCCGGCCGATGGTTATTGTTGCGGTGTTCAGTGTCTTGTATTTGTGCGCAATTGTATGTATGTATGTTTGTTTGTTTGTATGTAGGTATCTGTTCAAATGTGGGCGAGAATGTGCTCACGCGCGCGCGTGTGCGTGTGTAAGTGTATGTAGGTGTGTGTAAGAGGGTGCATGTGTGTGTGCATGCGCGCACGCGTATACGTATGTGTATGTGTGAGGGTGCTCCTGTTTTTACTTGTGATGGAGAATTCGAAACTGCCCGCGATCCGCCTGTGTGCGTATTAGTACGTTTCTGCATATTGTGCACAACTGCCCATATCGTTTTGCCGTGCAAAGTCTGTGCTCGTTGCGTCCCCTGCTAGCTGATAAACAACGCGCCTGTGTGTGTGTGTATTTCCCTGCCCACCTCCCGCCCGTTCCCGCCACCGGTCTGAGCGAGCCTGGGCGAGGACTTCCAACAGGACAACACGTATCCGTAGGGTTTCAACTAGGTCGGCCGCCTCGCCGTCGGCCGCCTCGCCGTATGCCGCCTCGCCGTATGCCGCCTCGCCGTCGGCCGCCTCGCCGTCGGCCGCCTCGCCGTCGGCCGCCTCGCCGTCGGCCGCCTCGCCGTCGGCCGCCTCGCCGTCGGCCGCCTCGCCGTCGGCCGCCTCGCCGTCGGCCGCCTCGCCGTCGGCCGCCTCGCCGTCGGCCGCTTTGCCGTCGGCCGCCTCGCCGTCGGCCGCTTTGCCGTCGGCCGCTTTGCCGTCGGCCGCCTCGCCGTCGGCCGCTTTGCCGTCGGCCGCTTTGCCGTCGGCCGCCTCGCCGTCGGCCGCTTTGCCGTCGGCCGCCTCGCCGTCGGCCGCCTTGCCGTCGGCGCCTTGCCGTCGGCGCCTTGCCGTCGGCGCCTTGCCATCGGCGCCTTGCCGTCGGCGCCTTGCCGTCGGCGTATTGCCGTCGGCGTCTCGCCATTGGCATCTCGCCATTGGCGTCTCGCCATGGACGTCTCGCCATGGACGTCTCGCCGTCGGCCGCCTCGCCGTCGGCCGCTTTGCCGTCGGCCGCCTCGTCGTCGGCATCTCGCCGTCAGCTTTCAGCGTTTCCACGTCACGGTTGTCGACCTCCG